ATATATATATATATATATATATATTAAATTTTTTGTTGTCTTGTTAAGTTGAAAGTTAGTCCGAGTGTCGTTAACAGGAAAAAAACAAAGTATAAAATAAGATAGAAGGTATGTTAACTGTTTATGTTCTCTTATGTTAGTATATACTTATACATATAATATACCTATGTATATACACACATCTATATATATATATATAATCAAATATAATATATTATAAATAAAAAATCAGGGAATAAAATAAGATAGAAGGTATGTTAACTGTTATCCATTTCTAACTCTTTCACGTCGAAAAATTATCGGATGTAAAAGCGTGATATCTTGGAAATGGTAGTAGAAGAAGAAGAAGAAGAAGAAGAAGAAGAAGAGCATGGAAGAAGAAACTTCGTTGTCGCTAAGGTGCCAGAGATATCCTTTCCCATTTATATATCGACGATAAAAGCGCAAAACGATGAGCAGGACGACGAGAAAAAGAGTAAGAGAAAGAGAGAAAGAGAGAGAGGAGACTAACGGATTCTACTTGTCGTCGCATCGTTTTCTTCTTCGTCGAGAAAACGGTGAGCTACATCTGTTTTTTTTTTTAATTTCTTTCTTTCTTTCTTTCTACAGGGTGAGTCGATAATCATTGCTATTTAATAATCATTAAAGCTATTAATTCTAATCAGTGAAATTTTTGTTTTTTTAATGATATTGTAACGCACACCGGAACAGTGATGTTTCGTTATTAATTCTTAATGTTTCAACACACAAACTAATAAAAAAGAAATATTTAATAAAATAAAGAGATCAAATCATTTGATTATATATTTCCGTTATTCTATTGTACATTTGTATTCGTTAACATATTTGATCGTACGTTAATTAAAATCAAGTAGCACTGATTATGTATCTAAAAAAAGAAAAAGAGGTGAAACAAGACCGTAAATCAAGTGTTACTGTGGGATGTGAAGTAGGATTTCATTCGAAACCGTTAGAGGAGATAACGATACGAATTTTAGTTCAATCTTCTCGATCTAACGTCGCTTAATTCCATATATCCTAGGTAAGATAAAATGATATATATATATATAGAATGAATTTCTAGTATATGATATCTCTTCGATAGATCTGATAAACAATATCTTCGTATAGATACTTTATTTAGGCCACCCTATATACATACATATATATATATATCCCCCTTCCTTTCTTATTCTTCCCTTTACCCTCCCCCCATCCCTCGATCACGTCCTACCCCTCCTGTAACTGTCTTTAATGAATCTTTAATACGAGTAGCACGAGGAAAAGAAAGAGAGAGAGAGAAAAAGAGAAGAAAAGAAGAAGAGAAAGAGATGGTTGGAAGACACCGGCGCACGCGGTTTATGAGAGCACAATGGCCCCACCACCCCCACCCCCACCCCTACCCTCACCCCGTCGAAGTTCCGTCAATTTATGAGCGCTTTTATCGGGGCCACTGCACTGGCTGCCTTCGTTTATTCGAGCGGGAAGAAGAAACTTAGGGATGCTGTGCTGCGAGAGATGACGCGTTGTATATATCCCAGACTCTGCATCGCACCAATTGGAAGGAAACACACCCTGACTCAACCCCTCGTCGTCACCACGTAACCTCTCTCTCTTTCTCACTATTTCTCTTTCTGCATCAATAATAGCCAGAGCTTATGTGTGCAGTGTCTCTCAACTCGAACTCGTTCCTTCATCCAAATGAAACCACCACCATCATCATAATCGAATCAACCATGTTTATCTTACTCTTGTTAAACAACAATAACAATGTCCACGAGAATGCATATGATGAACAGAGAAGAAAGACGCATGCGTTCTCGGTTTTATATGTGGTGTACGCATTGCAATCGGTGAAAGAAATATCGTTTCGTAATAATTATTGTTATCATTATCGATTATGAAATAACGTATCGTCGTTTCTTCCTCGTTTTATTCGTTATAAATGATTATAGAATGAAAGAGAAAGAGAGAAAAAAGTTTTGTTATATGTAAAGCATCCCATTCACGGTCTTATCAAGAAGAATGTGTATATATGAAAATATAACGAATGAAAATAGAAACGCGGGGAGGACCATTTAATGTTACATAAAGATTCGAATATAAGCTAATATAACAACAAGTTATCCGTGTGTTATAATATAATATAATATTACAAGTTAATTCCATCGTGTGGTTCTTATTAAAAAGAAGTTTAACGTAATTTGAATAGAAGATAAAACGAATAATGACTCTTCTATTGACGATAGAATGATCGAAATTAAGTATATGTAATAGAGTAGAAGACCGGTAAAGTATTATACCGTTGTACGTACTACATATACATATATATATATATATCTATATACACTTCGTTATAAATGCCACTTAAAAACTTAAGATTTCTCTCGAGTAACTACGACCTTCGGTTAAAGGAAGAGTGGTTTGCTCTTTCGATCACGTCCTACGCGAACGCAACAAAGAACCTAGGTAATCAAGAAACGTTTCTTCAAGAGGAAAACTATGTGTATATTATACTATATTTTCTAAGGACCACCACCGACGAGTGTCATTTCGATATTTTATCCAAGATATGATCTTTCACACATATATATATATATATATATATGTATAGCTTTTTCATCTTCATCTTCTTCTTCTTCTTCTTTTTCTTCTTCCTTTTTCCGAATGAAAACGAGGAAACCGCAAATGGAGTCTCTTCTGTAGTTTCATATTATTCGTGGGCGAAAAAATAAACACAGTTGATTCGCGACACTCGCCAAGTCACCAAAGTAGGGGTAGTTAAGCAAGCATCCTCCTCCACGAACCGTAATCTCCCTCGTTAAGAGATTAGTAAACAGAAAATCGCAGAACGGCATCGTAAATATTTGCTTACCACTGCTCGTCGAGGAAACTATCGCAGCAAACAGAGAAAGCGAATATATAAAAAGAGAGAGGGTTGGAAAATTAATAAGAGAAAGAGAGAAAGAAATAAATAAAGAAATTTGTGATGCAAAGGTGTTGCTTACTTCGATTGAATTTTACGATCAACGATGAGATTCTATCGAAGCCCTCTTTTATTTCCCTATTGAATTCGATACCTGCTTCTCATGGTGTATATATATATATATATGTATAGCGTATGTCAAACCTTACATTCTTAGCAAGACGCCTCTTTTCTCGTCTTCCTTTCGCATCGAAAGAACCTATCTGACGTGATCGAAACGAGGGAAATAAAAATGAAGAATAAAAATAGAAAGTAAGAAAGAAAGAAAGAAAACGAATGCATATACTGTACACACACAGTGGCATCAAACGAATCAACAATATATGATATATATACAATGTTTTCGATAAATGAACGACATGGAAATAACGATTTAATTATGGTTAAAATAAATAATAATTCAAAGTAAAAAATATATATTTAATTATTTACCAGGTAAGATAAATGTCAACAAAGCCAAGGGGACGGTGAATGTATGCGGCTCCATCGGGCACGGCGGGTGTCACAGACTCCGACGCGTGTAAAATCTTTCCTCCACTTCTCTCTCTTCCACCCCGTTGTATTTTCCTTCACGCGATCTCTCCACATTCACACGATTGCCCCGTCCTGTCGATTTCGATACACATTTCTATTTAAAACAAATGGACTCATCGTCCAACGCGTGTCGAAGTCACGAATCTCGCAATATTATTAAACCTCACCATTGTCGTAAAACGAACGATGCGCTTCTAGCACAATCACGACGGAACATGGCTAACGGACGTCTATACACCTCCGCATTGTCTCGAGTCCACGGACGATCTGACCCAGCGACGCCATTTTGTGGGACGAACGCGATCGAAGCGCCACACGCCGGCACGCCAGGATAGATGTGCGCGCATTGGATGCGCGCGAATAAATTTAAATTTTACTTTCAGTCCTTTTCCGACGAACAATATGTTCTTGTATAAACAAATTATCATTTTATTTTAATGCTTTTAATAACATTTTTCTCATTAATAAGTCTTCAATATTTATATAAGATACATTTACTCGGAAATTTATTGCCGAGATTTATATTTCTCTGTAATATCAAAATACAATAATAAGTTTAAGAAAACATTTTCTTACGATCATAATTTAGAGATTTATTAATAAGAAAAATATGTTAATTCGTTTAATATATCAATAAACGAACAAATTAATTAATGCAATATATCATATGTCTTATATTAACATTATTGAGATGGGTAGATGGCCATTGAGTTGCATATAAATTGGTTTAAATGTATAAGACCTTCATGGCTGAAGCGTCTTATAGTAATCATAGGTTATGTTCAATGCGTCAAAAAAGAAAAGTGAAATAAACGTTTTTGTTATCGTATCGTTTGATTTCATTTATTTTAAAGAAATATACGGTAAGTCGTATATTTCTTGTGCATATTTAACGATGGTATATTTATTTTAAAGTTGTATGTGTTATACTGACTAAGCATTGTTATAAAATGTTTCTGTATAAAATTCTTCATAAACTTTATTGTTGTTTGCTGTAACGAAGTGTATATAAAATAACTGTACATTGTACGAACTGTAGAGTAATCCTTTTTTAAATGAAATATCGATAATTCAGTGGGATTATAATAATTTTATTGAAGGTACCATAACCTACCAAAATGTCTGGAGGAATGTTATATGGAGGAGATGAAATCGGAGCTTTGGTATTTGACTTGGGACATCATTCCTTGCGAGTTGGATATGCTCAAGAGGATACGCCAAAGGCTGAAATACCAGCAGTCGTAGGTGTAAGAGAAGATGGAAATGGTACAGCTACCAAAGCCGAACCAATGGATATAGATGATAAAAAACCAGATAGTAATATTACTCAATCAGGGTCCAAATATTATATTGATACAACAATTCTTCATGTCCCACGTAAAGACACGGAAATTATGAACTATATGAAAGAGGGCATGATTGAAGATTGGGATCATTTTGAAAAAGTAATATTGTCTTTATGTTTTATATTGTATATTAATATTTCATACGCATATGAAATTATACAATTAAATAAGTCAATTATTTGTTATTATTAGGTGTTAGATTATACGTACTCTAAAGTTATTCAATCGGATGCAGAATATCATCCGGTATTATTTTCTGAATCCCCATGGAATATACGTAGTAAAAGAGAAAAATTAACAGAATTAATGTTTGAGAAATATAATGTACCAGCATATTTTCTTGTTAAAAATGCTGTACTAGCTGCATTTGCTAATGGTAGAGCAACTGGTATTGTCGTTGATAGTGGTGCAACTCATACTTCTGCTGTGCCTGTTCAAGATGGCTTTGTATTAACGCAAGCTATTGTAAAATCTCCGCTTGGTGGAGATTATATAAGTATGCAATGTAGACAATTTTTACAGGTATAAATATCCTTTTATTCCTTCTTAATATTATTAATTATGATTAAGAAATAACTACTCTTTCTCTTTAAATGAAAATAGGACAATGAGATTGATTTATCTCCCTCTTATATGGTGGGTGGTAAAGAAGTTGTTAAAGATCATGATAAACCACGATGGGTGAAAAAGAAGGGCTTACCTGAAGTTACTACGACCTGGCATAACTATATGGTAAAGAAACTTATTCAAGATTTTCAAGCTACTGTATTGCAAATTTCAGAAACACCATATGACGAAAAAATAGTTTCTACGATACCCTCTGTTCAATATGAATTTCCTACCGGTTATCACCAGGTAATTATTTGAAATGAAATGATTCGTTATTAAAACAATTATAATGAATTATGCGATATTTTAGGATTTTGGAAGCGAACGATTTCGCATACCAGAAGCATTATTTGATCCTAGTATGGTTCAAATGCGTGGTGGATTAGTTGGTAATACTATGTTAGGTGTAGGTCACATTGTTACAACTAGTGTTGGTATGTGCGATGTAGATGTTAGACCAGCTCTTTATGGTAGTGTAGTTGTTACTGGTGGTAACTCATTTATACAGGTAAAACTGTCTTTATTAATATATTACTAATATATTATTAGGAAAATAATTCTTTGCATAATTTAACGCGTGAATTTTCGTTCATTCAGGGTTTCCCGGAACGTCTTAACAGAGATTTATCAATGAGAATACCATCTAGTATGAGACTGAAATTAATAAGTGCAAATGGTTGTGCGGAACGAAGATTTGGAGCATGGATCGGAGGTTCAATATTAGCTTCGATAGGTACTTTTCAACAAATGTGGATATCCAGTCAAGAATATGAAGAAAGTGGTAAAAATCAAGTGGAAAGAAAATGTCCTTAAATTTGTATTACATGTAATTACTCACATTTTCCTAAAGTTATATTTGTACAATACGTTTTGCACAATTAATTCTAACCATTGGTTGAAAATGGAAAAACTAAAAAATTAGAATTTTCTCTTTCATTTGTAACAATCATACAATGCATGTGTGAGAATTTTATAAATTTTGATGTATACTAAAACAAAAACAAAATAAATTACAATTTTTATAAACAACAGGCTTTATAATCGAAGACTTACAATTAAATATTGTTTTCTACTCTACAGTTTTTTGCTTCTGTATTTTCTTTAAACATGAAAAAGTCTTTATTTCGATCAAACTCAATTTTTCATTATAATAGAGTATAATTATTCTTTTTCTTTGCGTATATCCATAAGTAGTAGGCAGATGTGGAAAATGATATTAAAAAAACATGGTATTTTAAAGTGGTTTTAGATACCAGGAAGTCATTAATCATTCTTAGAATTTTTTATCTAAAATTTTCTCGTATTGATTTATTAATTTACTGACTTGTTAGAATATACGTTGGAAAACATTCTTGAAATAAATATGAAATAATTATCAGAGCATTTTTTTCAGTATATTTTCTTAATAACTCCTATTAGAGGGTGTATATGTCATATATTTTATTCATAACTAATGATAAAGTATTATTAATAATCGCACATAAAAGTAGATTTTTCCATTTGCCTTATTTTGCATATTCCGCAGAATTATATTCCTAGAAAAAAAACTTATAACAATACTTCGTATATAAAGTATCTAACATTAAACTTTTTATCAAGTGGTTTATAAAATAATTTAGAGAGCAAAATATCCTTTTATTTTTTCATCTAATGGATATTGAACATTATGTATTTATAAATAAAAAAGTTTTACAATTTGTTGGATTTTATCCAACAAATAAAGTGCGAAGTCTTTTTTGTGTATTGTGCATGTTTCTTATCGGTATACCACAATTAATACAAATTTACCAGGATTGGAATGATTTAAATATAGTTTTAGAAGTCAGGTCTGTATAAAAAGCTAATTCAAATTAATATTAAAATTTGAACAAATATAAAAAAAAAAATGTTGTTCAAATAAAAATTAATATCATTGTTTTAAAGTTCAGTGTTACTTATGATATTACTTGGTATATCAAAAGCATTGGTATGTACTATAAATAGTACTAATGTGGAAATTCTTATTAATTTTTTATTAACGGAATTTTGGGAATATGCAATAAATAATACATCTTATAGAAACTTAGAAAAATATGCTATGTAAGTAAATAGGCATAATTATAATAAATTAAAAGTATTATTGGAAAATAAAAATGGAAAATAAAAATAATAATTAAATTTATATTAAACTTCTGCAGGCAAGCTAAAAATATTACAAAGGGATATTTGTTTTTGATATTTAATGCCTTACTAATATTTTTCATGTTGCCATTGATCGATATATTCATTTTAAAATATAAAGGAATACTTAGTAATGATTCCAACAGTTTCCCTTTTATGGCATCATATCCTGATTTCTTTTATGAATTTCCTCTCTATGAGGTAAATTTGATAAATTATGACAAAATAACAATATTCAAAATTATAGACAAATCTAATAAATGATATTTTTAATCATATTAACAGATTACTTACACCTCTCAGGTAATAGCAACAGTTATTTGTGGTCTTCTTATACTAGCAACAGATACTTTGATAGCTACAGCTATAATTCACACGTGCGGTCATTTTGTAACATTGCAAAAGAATCTAAACAATTTGAATAAAAGTTGCAACATGGTATATAGTATATTATTTTATGCTGCAAATTTTCCAAAAATTCAGTATATACAAGTCATCATTATTTTAGGCTTATCAACTTCGATATCAGGAAAAAAGATCGGGAAAAATAATAAAACGTATAAAATACCAATTAATACAAAATATTAAATATCATCATATAATTCTTCGGTAACTAACATTTTATATAAGTTTCTACATGCATAAACGATCACAATATAAATTATTTTAAAAATACAATATTGTAGATTTTGCGAAATAATGGAGAACAATTTTAGTTTAATGTTGCTTTTGCAAACTGTATCTAGTAGTCTAATAATCTGTTTAGTAGGTGTACAAGTCAGTATTGTAAGTATTAAAAAACTTAATATATTATGTATATAAAATTTACATGTACCAATACTTGAACACAGACGCATTGCAATTATGATATATTTGTAGAGTGGTTTAACAGATAGTACTAAATTAATGAAATATTTTTCCTATTTAATCATGGCACTATCTCAACTACTATTATTTTGTTTTCCCGGAGATCAGCTGATTTATGAGGTAATAAAATCAAATTTACAAAAATATATAAATGTATATTATTGTAACAAATGTATTATATCATATAACAGAGTTCTATGGTTAGCAAAACTGTATACTCCATAAAATGGTATCAGATATCTACACCAATAAAATCTGAAATATGTATGATGATATTACGCAGTCAAAAACCATGTTATATAACTGCTGGCAAAATCTATGTAATGCATTTAGAAAACTTTAATGCGGTACTATTTTTTAAATATCTTTTTAGTGATCTTATATATATATATATTAATTGTAAATGCATAAAACATTATCCAGTTTTAACCATCTAATGAATTTTTACACAATTTACAGATTTTGAATACTTCTCTCTCATATTTTATGGTTCTTAAGAATTTTAACACATAGGAAAATAATGTATAAAAACTCTTGTTTATAATAACCTGCAGGTACTGTAAATTTTACATGAAAGCTCCCCAACCAAAATACATTTGGCATAGATTATCTATGTTCGTAGCATCTAAAATTAATTGATTAACTTGTCCTGAAACACTAAGATTTAAAGCAATATTTTCTAATTTTTTTCCTTGAGAACGAACTAAACCTTTTAAACGCCGATTAATATTTTTTATACTTTCTACCGCCTAAAAAAGGGAAAATTAATTTTATTCGCTCTTTAATAATTAGTAATATTAAAAAGAAAAAGAATTTTAATAATACAATGATCATACCTTTTCGTTAGGTTTTTCTCCAGTTGCTCCAGTTTGATTCTTGTTCCAGCTAACTAATGGATCATATACAAACGGAGTAAGAACACTTAATAATGTACTCGATTGTTCTCTTAAAACACTCATAGTTGTCTGGCAGGCAATTCTAAATGGACCTTCTACTCCTAACGGACCCATAGCATCGATCATATTATGTGTTAAACGAAAAGGTACTCTTTCTGCCCAATCTAAAAATTCACCCTAAAAAGATACAAAATGTATCTTCAACAATATGTATAGAAAAAAAATAGATGTGTATGTTACATTTATAATACAATCATTTACCCGATTAAATAAACAATTAAAATCAACGTGAACACAGTCACCGCATTTAGAATCAAATAATATGTTTTCTCCATGACGATCTCCAAGTCCAAGTATATATCCTACCATCGACATAACAGCAGTGGTTCTAATATATGCAGTACGAGCTTCATACCTATAAACAAAATCCAATTTCAAACACTAACTATAGAAAGAATTGTAATGAAATTGAGTACAGTATACAAAAAAATAAATGCACTCTACCATCCATAAGGATCAGGAAATGTAAGACGAAACCATTCACTGAGAACAGGAGGATGACGTGGAAGTAATTTGTTGAGAAATACTTCTTTCTTCTTTGCCAATGGATCATTTAAAGCTAATAAGAAAAAAAAAAGAAAATAATTAATACAAATGTATAACATTACGATAAACATTAATTTTCAATTACTTACAACATAATATTTGCTTTAATTCTTTCATCATCATAGCTATACCCATCTCTTCGTAAGTACTCATAAGGATAGGTCGAAGTCCAACTAAATTAGGTACCCATTCAATAAGACCACATTCTTCATTAAGCGGTACAACACTCTGTTAATAATAATGAAATTAATAAATAATTATTATATACTATTACGAAATGGTACACCATACTTACATAAGTTCTTATATAAAGTCTTCTTTGTCGTGACTCCGGATTTTTTTGAAGATACTTATTAACAATATCATTAAATTCCATCAATCTAAAATCTATTCTTAAATCGTCTTTCGGTTTGCACATAAAAAGGTATTTGTTACCATCCGACCCTTTCAATCCGATACGTCGTGGTTTTTGAAGAGATTTCATAACGACTACATCATCTTCTATTCCCACTATATGTACGAAATTTCTATGTCCATGTAAATATAAAAAGTATAAGTGATCATTCTTCTTTTATGTATTATTTAAGTACATTACATATACTTACGAAGAAAATGGGTTGTAATTATCTAAAGAAGCATTTTTGGAAGGTAGATTAAGTTGTCGAAATTTCGTTGCTGGGATCATAATTTTACTAAAATTCGGATTTAAGAACAATCGTGGTAAATTTCGTGATAATTGACTAACGGTTACGTTTTGTACTCGCTGTTAAAAAATAAATGATATTTTATTATTATTATAATTATTATTACTAGATATCTAACTATCATAGATATATATTCCAATATTCGAAACTTACATCATTTATATGTTTATTAGATAACTCGATTAATCTTTCCCAAAGATTATTAAAGTCCTTGATAAGTTTAATCATTTCTGTCGTTTTTAATTTGGAATGATTTAAAATTTCTTGACATCTTCTGTGTCGTATAGGAACTGAAGACTGTTGTAAAATAATACAATTTTAATATAACGATTAAAATGATAGTGATTTTGGAAAATATTAATAATAACTATTATGTAATTACATTAATAACTGAAGCCATCATCCACAAGCTATGTTGTGGATACGCGACGATTAAGTTAACCAAAAGTGCACAAAGTGTTTGTTGTACTTCTTTAGAAGGATGACAAATTCTAGAAACAAGTTGACTAAATGCTGTAAGCCACATAAATAATGGTAATCTTTCTGAATACACATCTAGAAAATAAATAAATTAAAACAGATTAACAAGTTACATTATTATTTAACGTTACTATTTTTCTTATTATTAATTATTATAATTACCCATAATTTTAGTCATTTTTACTAAACTATCTTGACGTAATGAAATATATTCAAGTTCTCCATGATGGTTACTACGATTTGCAGATAAACGTGAAGCAAAATCTAACCAAATAGTTAACATTCTAGGCATTGACTGATGAATGTATTTGCAGCCATACATAAGTGATTTGCCATAATAATTCATCATATGAACTTGTAAATCTCTAAAATAATTACATTTGATAATCATCGATATCCTACGTAAGATAATATTATATTACGATCATTATTTTATCTTACCGTCCTTTTATGTCTCTTTCATCATCAGACATCCTATTAACAACGGAGTCGTAATATTGAGCACAAGCAAGTAAACTTTTCTCCCATGCTCTCCATACTTCAATAGCTTCCTTATAATTAGCAATGCTAATATCTGTATCCACATTAAGCGTTTGATCATTATATCGAGCGAAGAGAAGTTTTGCCTAAAAAGAATAATATATCATTGTTCAAAATAATGAGATATAATATTTGAGAGATTTAATAACTAATATTAATAATTTTTGTTTATGATGTAAAAACCTTAGCGCATTGTTTTCTTTCTTCAACGCATTCTCCTAATGGCATTTGTTTATAAACAGCAACTGGTTTGAAGTAATGTGTGAAACAATGTTTCAAAGTTGTAAAAGCGTGTTCCCGATTTCCTTTAATCCAATATAATTGAGCCTGTTCTATAGCTATTTCTTGAGGAGGGCAGAAATCAGCAGCAGATAAAAGATGCATGTATGATTGCTGATGAAAACCAGTTCTAAACAAAGTAACGTTTAATGTGATACAAAAATACAATATAAAAATGAAAACAAAATATTCATGTGTATCAAATGAAATATACTTTCTAGCAATCTTTGCACTTTTCAACCAAAATTTGCCAATTTCTTGTTTAAGTTGCAGATTGTCTTCTTCAAATTCCTTTCTTTCATATAATTCTAGAGCTATATCTAATATGGCTCTACGCATACCAAGAACAAATTCTATTCCACGCGATGTAGTTAAAAGTTGGCCACGTTTATCCCATTCTTCAAATATCAATGGAACTTGTTTAACATCAGTAATCATCAAAGAAGTTGCTTTATCGAATTCATTCAGTACATGCAACCTATATAGAAGAAAAAAAAAAGAAGAAGAAATTAAATAAATAATAAAAAATTAATATTAAATATCATATTTCGTGTTACATTAAAATTCAAAATACTTACTTCATAATATATGAATACGCTTGCTGATATCCTCCTGGACGTGAAGCAACTTCTAAAAGCGATACTAACTTCTTTTTTGTCGTAGAAAAATCTAACTTAATGCCTCGCTCAAGATCTTTTAACAACATACTCTTCATATCTTTATTTTTATGTTTTTGTAGTTCGTGTTCGTAAGTACCGTGAGCAAGTCTCCAGAAAGGTTCATTATCAATTATCAGTGGTTCCAGTTCAGGCCTATTATAATAAGAAAAAATATAATATATCTAGCAATCATGTCATATAAAATTCAATATTATTACCTGTAGCTTAGTAAAGCACCTGCAATATGTGTAGCTGTAAAATGTTGATTAAGACCCAAGTAACACTCGATCATACCTTGCAAATATTTAAATTTGAAAACTTCTTTTTGCGCGAGTCTTTCATAGCATATAGCTGCATCCTTTACATTAAAATAAATATTATACAACATATAAACATATATGCATATATATATATATATTTGAAAAATATTAATTATACCTGTAAGTCTCCGCTGACTTCATGTGCCAATAACAATTGTTTTAATGCAGGTGTTTTATTTTGGCTTACTAAAATACCAGAAACTCCATCCGGTTCATCAAGCTTGGCATATATTTTCTATAATAACAAATATAAATAGCTATTGTTATTTATTTTCAATTTTTTTCATTTGAAGAAATACAATAATTTATTTACTGAAAGTAAGTCTCCTTCAGCTACTTCTGATAATTCTTTACCACTAGAAGCCATATGTAGTTCCAAGTACATCAAAGCACGATGAAATTCCTGTGATCGATAGCAACCTTCTGCTATTACCAAATTATCCAATTTCGAGCAGAATGCTATATATTGTTTCAACAAAAATATTAAATAATTTAATATCCATTAACAAGGGGAAAGTCGAGTTGACAGAACAACTACACTACGTAAAATTTTTAAAATATCAGTGTCCTGTCAACTTATTAGTCCTAGAAAAAATTGTATATTTGTTGTTATTATTTAAAATTATTCTTACTTTGTATTAATTTAAACTTATTATCTCGATGTAATCTTCGTTCTCTAAGCCATCTTTGTAAATGATCCAATACCGAAAATACAATCTGAGAGCAACGCATACGTCTAGCTTCATCAGATATTTGTTTCTCATTCATTCTTATATTATATTCAGATCGAAGAGGTCGATGCAAAAACAGTTCCTGATTAAGAGTAGGCTGTTCTCTAACATTAATTACTGCTAGCATTTCTCCTCTCAATTCATCATGTATGTGTTCTTCTGTTGCATTTGCAACTACATAGGCTAATAGAAAAATATATGCAGTGATATATATGTATATATATATATATATATATATATATTCATGATATAATATAAAAATTAAAAAATATATAAATAAAATTATATAACTCACCAACAAGGTAAGGAAGAGCAAATATTATTGTTTTTATATCTCGCTTAAATGCTGGTCTACAAGCAAGCATCATATTATATAAAGTATTATTATTTAAATGACTTGATATACTGCACAACCAATTATATGCCCACTCTTCCACGCAGGATCCAGCTTCAGAACTATAAGAAATGTTTAAATTATTTATTGTAGTTACAATTATTTATCCGATAAAAACATACCCGTAAATAGGTCGAGGAAATGCACTAATATCGGATTTGACTGTTATACTATAATGTGACGTTAGAAAAGGAAAGATTATTTGTTGCATTGTTGAAGGAAGATTTTTCCACATTTTACTTTGTTTACCTTCTGGTCTTATATCATAAGCTTTTAATATTTCCTAAAAATTTAATGAAAATGAAAGGATTCAGAATTATTAAGTATACGTTTTTAAATAATTATTTACATACTTGTATAGCAAGTGCAAAACAATCCATATTCTGAGTACTTTTTTGCATTTGAAAAGCACGAACATTTTCAGAAAGCATTGCACAAGCAAATTCTTCATTCATGTCAAATATGAATTTACTGTCCTCTCTAGAAATAATTTTTCTAGGAAGAAGACTTGGTTCGATAGCGCCTAATTCTCCAAGACATTCTCCATATAATAAACGAATATTTTCATCCTTTTCTTGACATCCTGCGAGTAAAGTATCTAAAAGCTTAGCAAGTACAATATTTAATGTTATAATTTGGCTTACTTATTTACTTTATAATATTGTAGAACTAGAAATGAATATACCTCAACAATAGAAGGATGTACATCTGTATCACTTAGTATCATTTCGTTTAGTTCTATTCTGTGTTCTGTTAAAAATTTTTTTAAATGTTGTAACGCTAACATACGAATTTCATCTGTTTCATGAGTTATTCGTTTAAGCCATAATTGAAGATTTGCAGTAAATCCTTTCGATCTGAAATCGAGAAGGAGTATTGTTTATTTTTTCTAAATAGATAAAGAAATATATAAGTTTACTTACTGTGTTTGTAAAATTTGTTTCTTAATAATATCTGATATATGATTCGGAGTTTTCAAGTCATCAATAAAAAATAACTCCGATATATAATTTGAAGTGATATCATTTTTACGAAGTAAGAATTCTAACATCTTGCTTACTTTTTCATAATAATTTTCTAATAATGGTATCATAAAAATGCATATAGTTGGTATTAATGGGCCAAGATCTTCCATTGGTATACTAAATAATAAACATTTTTAAACTAGAAAAAGTAAATAATGATCTTTAATTAATTGTTCATTATCATGAACATACTTGTGAATAAAGGCATCCCATGCATCACATATTAAGGGTCCAAAGCCAGGTCTTTTAAACTCTAACAAAACTCGTAGTGTTGCTAAAATTTTAAATCTATATATGGTAATATGTTTTGCGCCCATAAATCGCATTAATGTTGTTAATGAAGCCAATGAAGTTTTTTGAGTCCATTCATCTGATTTAGAACTAAGATTGACGTCATATTTCACTAATATACCATGTAGTCTAAGATTCAGATAGGAGTTCTAAGAAAAAATAATAAATCATAAAGGCTATATACTATGAAATATATAATTATCATATTAAATTATTATTTAATAATATAAACAGAAAATTATATATATATATATATATACTTACAATATTCTCTTTTGAATTCAAATCTGGTGTTGCAATAGTGTCAAACTGTGACAATATTTTTAGAAAACCAATAATTTTTTCAGGCGTATTATGAAAATTTAACATCAAGTTTTCAAATATAATCTATTATTCATATAAAAATAAAAATATATATAAATTAAATGTAAATATTATATATTCATGAAAAAAAAGAGTACTGATATTATTAAAAAAGCATTTCTTACCACAAAAGAATTTGTTGTTAATTCTTGAATGCTGGTATCAGTCAATAGTGATACATTTTTTAAACATACTAATCCAATATTTAAGGGTATGTTTAAAAATACATAAGAGCAGATATGCTAAATAGAATACAATAATATATATACATAGAAGTTTTATATTGAAGAAATTTTTTAAAAATATATTCATATTTATATCATATTTTACATACCGGAAAATATTCGATTAACATTTGTTTTTCGTTTGTTTCTAATAGTTCGGCAATGTCTGGTAAAAAACCATCTCTTACTGTTGTGTCAAGTATGTAAGGCAGTAAATAACAAATCACATGATGACCTTCTTTGCTTATTAATTCATGTGATCCAGTATACCCAATGCATTTAGCAGCACGATGTAACGAAGTTGAGATATTATAAGAAAAATCATAATAATTAAGGAATGCTTGTTGCACCATTAACTGTAAAAATATTTATAGAAATATTGTAACAAAGATTAATTACGTATTATAATTAAAATTGCATTTTAACGATGCCATTACCGTAAGAAACTCTCTTTTGTATCTAATGTATAGCATCTTTGGTTTTATATTAAGGAAAGAAGCCAATTCTTCATAAGCATTGATAGCAGTGGTCACGACTGCAGGTGATGAATTATGATGAAGTATAGTAAGAAGAAATATATATGCAACTTTGCATTCTGTTGCGTATAATGGAACGCTAAAATTATAATTATATATAAATAATGAAGTAACGTTAAATTTATTGATTTTCAATTGAAATTATTTTGATACCATCCAAAATTTCTTGCAGTTTGAAGTAATATATTAAGTGGTAAATCACTATCGGAAGTTTCTAAAGCTTCAATTAATGTTTCCATCATGGCATCTATCACTAAATTTACAAATTCTTTTAAATCTGGTGGTATCTCATCTACTAATTTGGCTCCAGCTTTCTTTGCCTTTTGGATTCGAATATTTAATATTTGGCCTATTATTATGGCAAGGTTTTGTCTTACGTGAACTTCACTATCATTTATACAAGGCAACCAAAGTTTTACTATGTTATTGCTGCTAAATGATCTCATATGATTTGCAAAATGTATAGAATTATGTGCCATACAGAAACGTACATCAGAAAACATTGATTCAAATAACTGGTAATATGGAATCAATAACTGTTCTTCGTGTTCCTCTATAAAATACGATTTATAAAATTTATCTTTATCTATATCTTGTAAATTTTCAACACAATATTTACATCCAGGTGGGTTAATCATCAAATATTTTATTTCCCTGAAAGAAAAAGATCTCTCTTAATACTGCAATATAAGAAAAATATTATAATGATATCAAAAAACTAAATTATATAATCATTACCTAAATAAGTCGAAGCCATTTGCTAAAGTACAAGCCATGGAACCTAATATTTTTGCTAAAGCGGTTTGGATCGCTAGATCGCCTGATAATAAAGCAGGCTTTAAAATAAATTTACATATATCCTCCAATTTTCTTTCATTATGTTTTATTAATGCAGTACTGGATCTAAATATTATTACAATACATAATTACATTTTTATTTGAAATATATAAATTTATTATATACATGAAATACTTACTTTATACCTGTAACAGCAAATACAATATCTTTGTTTACGATAAATTCATATATTACATGTAATATATTTTCTGTTTTATCAAATGAACATAATGTCGTAATAATTTGTATAGCTGTATCCTCATTAACATATTTTAAGATTTTTATAATTCTTTGATTTACATTCAATTCTTTAAAATTCTCAATAAATGGTAATGTACTAAATATTTGAACAAAATCTTGTTTACATTCCTTATGAGATATTAGATACAACATAGATTCCAAAATAACATCTCTATTTGTACCATTATCATTAATAATCTCGTTTCGTAATTCTTCTAAAAATTGATCGGCAAAATTACCATACAAAATAACATCCAATTTTTGTCCGATAATCCAGTGCTCTAAGAAGAGAGAGTTAAGTATAAGTCTTTTAGTTTCAATAAATATTTTTAATTTTATGGTACGGTATATTTCATTTATTAATAATTTCCATGCATCACTTTGATCATCTATATAAATTGGACTACTTATATGGGCACATTCTTCAATTTCAAAGTAAATATAGGACATGAAAATTGGAATAAATTCCTAAAAAAAAATGTTTTAAATGTATATATAAAAGTTGTACTATATTCATAAAATATATTGCATTTTATAGATACTTTTACTAACCGGGCAAAAGTGAAAATATGAAATATATTTTTTAGCTTCAGCACGATTACAAATTGTTGGCTCTTTAATTAAATATTGTCTTATTTTTTCACATATTTCTTCTCTTAATTTTGTTAGAATATCATCTTTTATGGAAGACACTAATTGTAAGGATAATAATAAATAAATAACAATGTAAAATAATAAGCAACAATATATTTCAAAATGTATATATATATATATATATTTAAAATTAACTCACTTATATCAATATTCATCAAAAGTAAATCCATGATGAAAAAACACAGCACATTAACTTCTCGAGTCACGAATAAACCACTAATAAATTCTACGAATGTTTCAAAATATTCATTTAAAGTCATTTTATTCATATGTCCATTATTAAACCATATTGGAATAATTTTTAAAATTCCCATAACATGACTTATAAGTAATGAGATATGCTTAAAAAAAGTAAACATTTTTAGATGAAAATAATATATACACAGACCTATATATCATTAATATATTAAATGATTGAATAATTAAATTACATACGGGATTTTGTTCATCAACATAAATGAGCAGATTTACGCAAAGTTTCATGACCTTTAATTTCACGTCTGCATTAGCTGTTTCTATTATTTTTAAAAGAATATTCCAAAGTTCGTCATTATTCCAATTAGATGTTCCTGATTGTATAATAATCTATATAATAGAAAACCGGATAAATATACAAATATTTTTAAATAAAGAAACTAATTTCCTTATTAGATCAAATAATATGAGTTACAATACCTGTAATATAGAATTCAGTACTAGTCCAACAGAATTGAAATTAACAGTTACTGGAAATTGTGTAAGTTTTAAGCTCGGTATAATGTCTTCAATTACAATAAATTTATTGAGTATTAGTGAATCACAGAGCTCAGCAGATGAAATAAAATTTTGTATATCTGTAGGAAAAATAAATAAAAATAAAAGAAAAATTGTACGATCATATAAATCTAATAACAATTTTTTAATAAATACCTTTAAGCATAGATACGTAAAATGGACATATCCTGTGAAATGTTATTATATTATGTATGGATAATGTTGTAAGCATAGATGCTTGTATATTTATGCTATAAGTAAGAGTTCTGTCGCTTAATGGATGTCCTACTATATAAAACATTGCTCCAAAAAGCCAAACTGCAAATGCTGCATAATAAAATGATATAACAAATATATGGCTTATAAATTGCCAGTAAATAATGTATACGAGGTTGGCTTGAAAAGTTTTTAGTTTATTATTTTTGAAAACTTTTCAGACTATGTGTCATCGAATGAAATTTAATTGAACAGAAAACAGAATTGTTTCTATGTTAAACTGAAAACTTGTCAACCCACCTAAGTATGTTGCAAACGTTTAATTACCGTCATACTGTTGCAATAAGCTTGTATCAACAAGATCAGGATTGGATGGAAGTAAAACCATTTTTAAATTCGATGATCTTTTTATAAGAGATTCTAACAGAGAATGTAACATTGGCTCTGCCATTTCATTTTTATAATCTGCGAACACCGTAACCACTGGAGAATGAATAAATGACCATAATGGTTCTGCAATGCCAGAACTGAAAAATCATCATCATCAGTGTAAGAATAAGATAGATGTATGATTTTTAAAACGTTATACTAAACAAAAAGATCATTATTATATTATGAATAATTATAAATATATATATTACCCATCATTATCTTCTAAAATCACCGTTTGACTGTTATCTTCATCCATCGTAGGTTATATCTCATTTTTATACACAATAACAATAAAATTGGATCGCAATTTGTGTACAATTACGATTGATGATTACACGTAATTTGAAGGTACTGAATTATGTGTTAAAAACTCCATTATAATACAATATAAAAATATATAAATAATAACTTTTAATCACGTTAAATTCGTTCACTTTTATCATGGAAGAATATAATCGAACAGTTTAGTTCGTTGATCATGTTTTCCCGGTTATTTGAATCCGGCTTTATAGTAGCGACATCTTTACAAAAATTCATCAATGTCAATTTAAAAATCTATTTATATATATGATAAAAAATGGTAATTATTTTAATTATAGAATAAAGAAATAAATATACAGTATATATATATATTTTCTTATTTGTTAATCAATAATTAAACAATTTTTTCTCATTCAAATATATATTTTCAACATTTAAATCTTAATCAGAATTTATTCCCCTTGAATAATTACGAAGAAGAATTTATTAAAAGCATCAAGAAAATACATACCCTGTATAAAAACTTTAACATATTTAGAAAGCTTTTAAATGTTGACAAATTCAGGTCATTCATTAACTTTTAGTCGACAAACTTCTTAAAAGTCTGAGAAGCTTTTCAATTATCATATTTATTATTACTCTTAATAGATTAAAAAATATATAAAAGTAATATTTCTTTTCTTATATTTTTGTACTCTCCCCCACCACAAGTACTTACAATCAAATTAATCTTTCAAATCAATCAATCGTTATTAAAAAAAAAAAAAAAACATGTTTCCCTTTGAGATAATAATTATTATTATATTACAACTAAACGGTACGTGTTCTGATTTTTTTTATTACATCCGGTAGGGAGTTCAATCAACAGAGAAACAATATTTGCTTTGAGTGGAAACTAACACAAAGATACACCACCAGTAGACGATCTATAAAAATAGTTTGTATGATACATTTCTTTTATAAATATTTTATAATTTCAATTTTTTTATACCGTATATTTAAATTTTAATTGTTTTCACTTTAGCTGCCTTTTTCTTTTCTATTATTCTACAAATAAGTATCTACCATTAATCTCGAGTTTCTTTAAATTGCACTTTTTTTCCTTCGATTTCAACGTCCTATAGTTTATCATTAAGACTACTTACTGCGGTGTAAAATATAAATACGAATGTTTAATGAATAGTACTTCTTCCCTTCTATTCCTTGCTAATAGATAAAGAAAAAAAAAGAAGAAAGGAAGGAAGGAAGGAAGGAAGGAAGGAAGGAAGGAAGAAAAAGGCTAGAGTTATTTTTCGCGTGCTCGAGGTACCCTCGAGTTCTGCATACACACATCTACATAAAAACACAAATACATATACCGACCGGTAAAAGACTTCGTTTCTCTTTGAAATCTTTATCCGTCCTCTTGTGCATATCTTCTATTCCATTCTTTCATCCAGTATCATCGTATCTCTTGTTTCTACCCTCGCGTACGCTGATTTTAATCCCCCCCTCTCTCTCTCTCTCTCTCTCTCACAGCGTTTTTCTTTCTTTTTCCTCCTCTTTGTCCTTCTATTTGCTTCTCCTATTTTCCTTCACACGATATATATATTTTTTTATCGATTCTATGACGAACAATCGTTTCTTTTTCCAATGCCACTTAAGCATTTAATTGGCTCTCAACTTTGAACCATCGTTATTTCGCTAGGATTACATCGAACAATTCTTTATTCGAGGTACAAAAAAAAAAAAGAATGGGAAGATCGCAATTTTCTTTTCTCCCTTTTTTTTTTCAAATTTGCTCGTGTCTACGAGCACGGCAGGGGTGGGATGGGGGTTCAAATTTAAAATACGCGCTTATTTTCTTCTCGAAAAACAAAAAGAAGCAAAACGAAAAGATAATACAATAGTTCAATTCAATTTTTTTTTACGAATAATTGTAATTTATCTTTTTGTCGCGAATAATAATATCACGATGAGAATCATTAGACTTTATTAAAAGTTACTGAGTATAAAAAAGAAAAAGAGTAATAATATTTCTCACGAGTTAGATTAGAAAAAATGAATTGAAATAAAACTATTAATCTATACTACCCCTATCCGATCTTATCCTATTCTGAGAAAAGTATCAGACGGTTTAGTTCATATATATATATATCTTTCTCTTAGGAGGACGATGACCATACTTGAAACTATCGAGGTGTATTTAAGTTCGCCGCGTGTATTCGGAGGATGAAAGAGGAATGGTACGGGTATGACGATATGGACCCGGTTGCGGAGAAAAGCTAAGAGCCAGGAGTTTGCGCGAACAGATCAATACGCTTGCCCCCTGCACGTGGATTTGCCACTCTCCCTCCCTCGTTCTCTCTTACACAAGTATACACACAACACATGCATATATACATAAACTCATACAACACAATCCTCAGTTCGACCCCACGGACTTCTTCTTATCCTCTTCTTTTTCCTTAAATCCACCCACCCCCACCCGCCTGCCGCTTCCACCCTCTTCTCCCCCACTTACTATCCCCCTTTTCTTCTTCTTCTTCTTCCATTTCTCTCTAACTTTTTTCCTTCTTTTTCCTTCTTACCAAGTACGTTGCACAGACAACTTGCTTCTCATTCATCTCAAATCGTTCCTGAATCTTCAACATTTTTATTTTAATTTGTTCTCTTATTTTCAGAAAGTTATACGATTGACGATGTTACTCAACCATCATCATCATCATCATCATCACCATCATCATCATCATTTCGGTTTCTATATTTGCCACTTACTATCTCTATTACCTTCTATCATCTCTCTCCCACCCTATCAACAACGTATCTCTCCCTCTCTCCTTCCTTCTCTCTCTCTCTATCTCTCTATCACTCTCTTTCTTTCTCTCTCTCTGTAGCTCTTTTCACCGATCGTTCCCTCCCTTTCTACCATCATCTCTTCGTTCTGCTACCCCTTGGCGAGGTGGCGGTCCAGAGCGCAGAGCGCGTCAGCCGTGCGGGATGCTGAATCCGAAGGAGATTCAGTTGTACGCCTGGCTGCTTTGCCACTGTGCTCTCTGTGCGCGTTTCATATAGTTATTCATTCTCTATAAGTTATAAACTATCAATTCTTATATATACTATATAGTAATTTTTTTTTTTCTTTTCTTTCTCTCATCTTTCTCTCTTTCTCTATTTTTCTCTATCACTTTTCCCCCCCCCCCCATTTGATTTCTTTCATTCGTTCCATCAAATCCCACGTAATACTAAAAATATTTCTTTACATCATTTTTATTTGAATTTTGATCAATCTTTTCCTTCTCCATCTTATTTATTTCTTACCCCACCCCCCCTTTTTTTCTCCCTACTTCTCTACCCACCACCATCCCATAACAACCATCATTCTTCTCTCATTCCTCTATTCCCGTTCTATCGTTCTCGTTTTAACTTTTACGTTTTTATCTTTTCTTTTGTTTTTGTTCTTTTGTTGTTTTTTAATTCCACGTTAGAGTTTCACGTTTTATCTCATTGAAATTGTTTCGCATATTCACGCATCGCGTTCATCATCTTCCGGGTACCCTCAACCGACGAATCGAATCCAGGAATGGACTTTTTGTGAAAGAAAAAGGCGTGTACCCGACATACACGGTAAGTTTTGCTTTTCCTTTCTTAAGCCGCCAGCCCCCCCCCTTTTCCCCTTCCCGCCGTCCTTCTTCGCCTACGTCGTAACCCTCCCCCCCACACCCCAATTGTATATACATATTATATTTTTTTTATTTATTAAATTGAAATTGTAATTACATATCGCACGTGCTAAGGTACGGCGGTGGGTGTGTCGATGTACCATCGTCGGAAAAATATCAAGAAAATTTTCTTGAGAAAGTCAAGAAGATTTGTGGATTCTACTTTTGCAACAAATTTTCAATCATTTTCGATCTCTGTAGTTCGATATTTTGTTTGTTTTCTATTTATTCATTTCAATTATAATATTATATTTATTTGAACGAAGAGAAAACGTGTGCCAATATGTGTGTGTGTGTTTTTTTTCTTTTTTTTTTTCTATTGGATATAAAAATGGTATCTCTAAATTATAATTGTGATTAAGATAGGAAGACCTTGACGTGATATTTTAAATTAGCTTATATTATTCGTGTGTTACGCATTAAACTTAAGTGTAATCATCTATTAAAGTGCACTTAGCTTATTACGGGATATATTCAAACGTTACGATCTATATGATTTTACTACTTTTATACTTCACATTCCAGACCCAATCTGTGAAGACAATATTACGCCTAATGTCGTATAACTTTAACTGTAATAATAACTACGTTCAAGAATAATCGTTATTTTCCTTCATGAAAATGTACGATCGTGTATTGCTCTTAATTTAGTAAAAAAAAAAGAAAAAAAAAAAATATATATACTATAGGAAATTTCTAACTAGAAGTCCCCTTTTTATTTATCGTGTCCCTTCTGACTGACAAACAAGTACTCAATTGAGGACATCCTGCTTTGATAATGTTAAGTATACTTAAGATATATATTTGTTATTGCATGTTTATCAACATTCAATGTATATAATTTGTTCTTTTGGTATTTATTAAAAAGGTCAAATTATTTACACCCTTCTTCGTATATCGGTTTGAACCTTTCACCTATGAAATGGTGCACCATGTATTTCCACATGGTATTTATTTAAAACGGTCAAGATAATTTTACATTCGAATAGGTAATTACTGAATAATTACAAAAAATTGTAATAGTAATAATAAATTATATTTAATTATAGAATTTTTTCTTTCTTTTGTTTTTTTTAAAGATCAAAATAATTTTTCTTATTTATATCCTCGGGTCAACTAATATAAGATATTCAATATCCTCGATCGACAAGGATGTCGAGCAAAGTATTGGATAACTAATCAGTGTAATCCGATCAAAGTTCGAACGCGTTGCTGTTATTTATCAAAGAGCACGGATAACTGATAATGTTCGTTCACTTGTAAAATTCTAATAAATAGCTTCACCTGTTTCATACGGAAAGGATTAAAATGATTAATGTAAAAAAAGAATCCCTTATTAATGTTCGTTAGGATCAAGTAGTATGAGACAAAGAGAGAAAAAGAGAGAGAGAGAAAGATAAAAAGCAAAGATCTATGAATAAAATGAGATAAAAAAAAAGAGGGATATTCATCTATGAATAAATAATAAAACACGAATAAAAAATGCACGAGAGTTATATACATATATACGTATATAGAGTTGTCGTAATTTTGAATCGAAAGGACAAAGTGAACAAACATTAAATAGATTCGTACTACATAGTTCAATATTTGCACCGCCTCGCATTTCGTATTTCCCGCTTAAATATCGTATAAGGGTCTCGCGAATTGCCCTCGTTCGCGTGGTACTCACAAACTCTATCCAGAGATATGTACAATAATACATATGTATATACACATACCCATACACATACCCATACATATATTTATATATACGTAAGTATATCTGTGCACGTATACCAAGAAGACATAGCATATCACACTGACGTTGCATCTCGAGTGCCTGAAAAAGCCGTTTCGAACGAATTAATAATGCGAACGAAGAGAAGAACTCTTTCGTTTTCTCTCTTTTTCTCTTATTCTCTCTCATTTTCTCTCTCTTTCTGTTGAAACGAAGCGACTGAACTTTGCGCGAGTTCGTGGACCGCATAGGTCATGACCTGACGACCCATCCCGGACCAACATCTAGGCCATTCTTGAATTTTAATCCGTGCCGCAATTGCCACCACCGAGCTCGATTAGCCCCGGCATCGCAGAAAAACGATAGTAGAGGTGTACCGAGCTTTAAAACATCGTCCACATCCACACACGTCGACACCACTCGAACCCTCCTCTTTCTCTTCCACCCCCTCTCCTTTCCCTACCCCTGTCCTCTTCTTCATCCTATCTCTCTCTTTCTCTCTGTCGGTCTCTTTTTATTTCTCTTCTCATCTCCTTCGACACGACAATATTATTTTCACCCTTCGGTTTAGAGCCCATTGAAATTTTACTTGGCTTCCTCTTCTTTGATATATACGTGGATGATATCATCGGGTAAGAAAGAGAGAGAGAGAGAGAGAGAGAGATAGAGAGAGTAAAGAAAAAAAAAATCAAACCATATACATAACAGTAAATATATATTCATATATATTGACACTTTACATTTTTCTTTTTTTCTTCCTTCTAAATTAAATCAAGTTTCTTTTTTTTCTTTTTTAATATTCTTTTTAACAAAATAACATGGAAATAAATAAAAAAAAAGAAGATGGAAAAGAGAAATGTAACTACGAGTTTAGCTAGCTAGCTAGCTATTCGAAATATTTCAAAGCTTTAAAGAAATTTCATTTTAATAATTCGAATGTGTGAGATACGACGAATGTTTATCCTTTCATTCAACATCGTCCGAGCTGAATAGACCCGAATACTAGTGAACCGTAATGCTACGAGAGATGGTCCTGTTTTAAAAATCTTATATATATATACTTTTCTACTTATTATATTCACGTACGCTTTTCAATTCTATGAAACGACGATGTATACGTGTATATATATATATATGTATGTATGTATGTATATAGATATTACATACGTATATTCCCTACTTCTCATTTACTCAAAATCCCTTATGCGATAATATGACGAAATTCTCTGACTCTCGGGCGAGTAGCTTAAATGCGCACTAGCTATAAAGGAGAGATGATGGGATTAATTATATATGAACGGATAGGAAGGATCAATGCGAACTATGTAAACCGGATTATAATGTCTTCCTCTGTTCGTGAGATATTGGAAATAATATCACGTTTGCTACCCCCCACCCACCCCCCTATCCACACCCGTTTACATCTATCCCATTTTCGTATAATTTACACGTTTACCAATATAATTCATATCGATTATGTTGAAATAAAACAAAAAAAAAACAAAATGATTAACAACTATCGAAACAAACGGGGGGGATGGAGTTTTAAAGAAATATACAATAATATTATAATATTTATCTCTGTTCAAATAATACATATAAATATGTTGTTTGATTAATTATTGATTAATTAATTTATAATTGCACGGATCAAAAAAGAGTAATAGAAATAAAACAAAAATGAGAATAAAATTTTCTAATTAACGTAAATAATATAATATATATATATATATGTATTCACGAGAGCCAGACCGATGGCAAACATGACCAGCAAATTTTCTATGGAGTACGCACTTAACGAAACGCAAACAGATCTATACATATACATATATATATTTTCTCTCTCTCTCTCTCTCTCTTTTCTCTTTTACTTTCCATCGTGAAAAAATAAACTCTCAAACACGTACGCCGTAAATCTCGGTATTTTTTTTTTCCTGCTTCTCTTTCTTTCTTTTCCTTCTTTCTGATTACAGGCTACCGTCACATTGGGGGGGTTGGAGAGAATAGGACACGAGGATGGGTGTCTATGTGATTGGAATAGCCGGCGTTATCGTGTTTTACGTGGCTGTACTCTGCGTTGGTATTTGGGCTGCGTTTGTAAAAAGAAAGAAAAGTCAACAGCAGCATGGCCAGAATGATATGATATTGGCGAATCGTCGATTAGGACCTTTACTCGGAGTCTTCACGCTTGTAGGTAGGTATGACGTGTGATTGGATAATAAACGTGTTCTCTGAACTGTAATCCTAAGATAGAAGCTTTGAAATTATCACCTGATTTTAATGCATATGCATATTCCTGCTTGACGAACATATACGCACACACACGCTCATATATATATATACATAAGAATTTAGATACTATTCAAGCGTGTATATACTCGAGGAATGAGTAAACTTCGACTAAATTGGAAAACGATACCGGGATGACAACAGTTCGACTCTTGGGAATCGGTTGACGAAGAGACGACACACGTTAGCTTATCATCCGTGAATACTTTTCTTTTTTTTTGTTTGTTTGTTTGTTTTTTTCTTTCTTTCTTTTTAAACCGTCACGGAAATGCGAAGAGAAATTGACGAACGTCATCGGAAAACTTTCTGCTTTCTCTCTAACACAAATTCGTTGTCACCCAGTGGTTGGCCTAGTTATTACTTCAGTTATTATTCGTTTTACCTATGATATACGGTTTTATTCAGTTTCCATTCTCACCGCTTGCATACTCTTGTTCTTTTTCCTCTCACTCTCTCTCTCTTATCTTTCTTCTAGTTTCTCCATTCCCCTTTTCACGATGAAAATCATTTTGCGGCTTTTCCATCCCTCCATTACAGTAATGAACAGCCCCGGGAGACACAGAGAAACGCACCAGTGGCAAGTAGTAAGCTATATGCTCGCGTATTCCCTTTATCTATACGGTTCTCTTGTTGTTGTTGAATGATGGGTAGACCAAGAAACGCGTTTGGCTGCGGTGTCCGTTACACCGTTTATTCACGGCACGATGTTACCTACCATATATTCATTGAGTATTCAATGCACTGAAAGAAGAGTTCGGTACGTTACAACCAAAAGGAGAACACACGTTTAAACATTTCTACAGTCTATTAAACAAAAATGTCATCCTTTTTTTTGCTTACCCTCTCTCTCTCTTTCTTCCTTTATTTTTCATAATTTTAAATTTTACAAAATTTCGTATCGATTAATTCAATTAATTTTTCCATTGATATTTGTTATCATCATTATTTTCTAACGTCAAAATTATTTCACGTATTAACGATCGATATTGTTTTCCTTTATCTAGCCACGTGGGTAGGTGGTGCATACGTGAACGGTACCGCTGAGGTCATGTACACGAAGGGTTTACTTTGGTGTCAGCCGCCAATTGGTTATAGTTTGAGTCTTTTATTTGGTAGGTACTCGAACATCGATCGAATAATATTTTATCGGGGTTATAATATTCGATTTGTGATATATTCAAATGACAATGTTGACAGGTGCTATATTATTTGTGAGGCCAATGAGAAAAGCCGAATACGTGACAATGTTGGATCCCTTTCAAGAAAGATACGGTGCCGGAGTTGGCGGATTACTTTTTATTCCAGCATTATTTGGCGATTTGTTCTGGTGTGGAACGGTATTGAAGGCTTTGGGAAGTTCATTGGTTGTCATTGCTGAAGTTGATCCACAATTGAGCATTTGTGCCTCGGCATTGTTAGCAGCCATGTTAGTACAGAAGAGTATGTTGCAAGGCATGCATAGTTGAACGTAGAACAATATTTTTTTATAAGTCAATTTTCATTATTCGTTTTAACCGAAAGGATAACTCCACCCCTTTTCTTCTACCCCTTTCCCCGCCTTTTTTCTTTTTTAATTTTTGCAGATACACCGTTTTCGGTGGATTGTATTCCGTAGCGTGTACGGACGCTCTCCAATTGGCCTGCATAATTCTAGGATTAGCTATCACAGCACCATTTTCCGTATTCCATCCTGCTACGTCGTTTGAAAAGAATTTATCATCGAGGGAGTGGCTTGGTGAAATTAAAAACGAAGATCTAGCTACGTGGATCGATGGCATGCTTTTACTGGTATTCGGTGGGATACCATGGCAGGTAACCAGTCGTCAATAGATATCAGATTATGTTGTTTCAATAGATTACAGATAGTATATCCATTGTTCAGGGATACTTTCAACGAATACTGAGCTTTCGAAGTACTACCGTTGCAACAACGTTATCGGTAGCCTCTATGTTTTTCTGTATAATACTCGCAGCACCATGTGCTTTGATCGGTGTTGTGGCACGTGCAACGGACTGGACATTGGTCGAGGGTTCGAACAAGACTTTTCCTTTCGATCCTAATGCTGCATTACCTTTTGTCTTGAGGTACTTGACACCACCGTGGGTTTCTTTCATAGGTGAGAATCAAGATTATATTTAATGAAACAAATATTTCTCTTGTTTCTGTAATTAATCACAAATTCTGTACAGGTCTCGGAGCGATTTCAGCTGCAATAATGTCATCGGCAGATTCCAGTATACTCGCAAGCAGTACTATGTTTTCAAGGAATATTTATAGACTGACGTTTAGGCCGAAGGTATATATATATATATATATATTTTTAATGGAATTAATTTCATACATTTATTTTTTCTTTGATATATTACAGGCATCAGAAAGAGAATTAAATTGGATATTACGAATCTCGATGTTAATGGTCTCAATTCTCTCGACTATTTTTGCATTGAAAGTTGATAGCATTTATTATCTTTCGTAAGTAATAATCAGACCTCCATTATTTTTTAGTATTCGTATTTTATTATTAAGAATATTGAACCCTGCAGGTATCTATCATCCGATCTTGTGTACGTCGTACTTTTCCCTCAGTTATTAGCGATCATCTATTGGCCATCATTGATCGATACTTATGGATGCCTCGCGGGATACTTTGTTGCTGTTGTATTACGTGTCGGTGGTGAGTATCATAGTCATTCGAGTGTACGGTCACGCTATATACATCGTTAATTGCAAATGCAAATTACCAATATATCTTACACGCGCTTGAATCCTTTAGGAGGTGAAGAGGGTTTGGGTATACCGGCTCTGATTGAATATCCATTCTACGACAAAGTGACCAGAACCCAGAAATTTCCTTTCCGTACAACCGCAATGTTGTCGGCTCTTGTCGTGCAAATAATAGCTAGTTTCTTTACGCGAAATCTTCTTGGGAAAGGTTATTTCCCTCGTTGTTGCGACGTACTAAGCGTTTATTCACCTGGAAAGACGAAAGACCAATCAGGGGTGATACAGAGTAACTCGGGCGCAGCCCTGATGGATTCATCATCAGTAAACGTACAAACAATACATTATTTTCTTTTAACGATGATAGATCAATTTGTTTGCCTATTACCTAATATAATGATATTTATGTTTTTTTTTCAGAAATCATTGTCAGGTATAGATGCATGCGATGGTGTAAGTGGTTGCAATTATGAGCTTGACAGATCTGGAACGATTAATTTGAACGATGATCAACGTTCGGAACAACGTTGTTCAGAAAACAACGTTGCTGTTAGCGATTTTACTAATAACGAGACGTTAAGAGGAAACACCGTTGCATCCGTCATACAAAGAACCAGTCAAACTAGCCAAAGTTTTCACGGAATCTCGAGAAATTCAAGCCAACCGATCTCAATAACTGGTAGGCACGTACAAACGGCAACTAATCAATACGTTCCTATACCGATCAACGAGGTCAGTGCAACGTGTAGAGGTCAGATACTTGGCGTTAGGAATCTTCGAGATTCATTAGGTCAAGTACTTTTGCCAGTCGACAACAATGTCTCTGCGTCAAATGGGAACGAAATTGGAAATATTAATACGATACCCTCGAATACAACAATACCACCAGCATCCATGTCAATTGCCTCACCATATAATAAGATTAATAACGAGAGCACGACCACTAATGATAAATTATTATTACGTGATTGCGAAAGAACTGCCGATAGAAATCCAATAGAATTTAATTTAAATGCTCAAGACAGCATGCTTACAAACGTTTGCGGTAAAAAGAATGTTAAGGGTGTGAAATTGGTCGGTATGGATGGTGGAACATTGAGAAGACCTTCTTTACAAGTAAGACATCAATAATCATATTATATTCCTAATCGTTCCCCGTTTAATTTGATATAATCAAATTGTAATTAATTAAATTTATTATTGTGATAGGGTACATTCTCCCCAACACCATCAGTAGAACTAGTCCACATTTTGGATAGACGACAAAGTAGTGGATCTTACGGTCCTGGATCTTTATCACCAGTACCAATGGGCATAGAAGCTTGTAAAACTCATGGTACTGCACCAGAAGGACACAACGGGAACGAACATTGCAGAATAAAAAGAGGCATCGTCAGGCATCACAGGTAGTTAAATGCGTTCGAATCGAGATCACCGTTTGAATTTTTGTTCTTATTGTGACGTGACAATAATAAAAGAGATTTATTTTATGTTTTGCTAATAAATTATGTTTGAAATTATGTTGATATTACGTTTTTACCTTTTAATCCAACAGCTTACGAATCACCGAATCACCAAGTTTTCTATATACCAGAAGACATTTATTTTTCTTAACGATATATCTCCTCGATTATTTTGTTTATTTGCCTTTATAAATAAACATTTGTCTCTTTCATATTACCCTGCAACATTTTTCGTAGCTTTAACGACACCGGAGATCGAGCACTTACAACATTGGCCAGACAGCCGACTTATCCTTCGATGCCGTTAAGACCCGAGGACTGTCGTATGACATTAGTGAAGAAGGACAAGAGGACAGGTACCATCGCTCGTCATTCCTCGGTGACGAATGAAAAGGAACTCGGTGGTTGTACGACCACTGGTGTCGTCATCTGTAGCCCGACTTACAGTATGTACGGCTCAGCCGTTAAAAATTCCAATTACTTCGTGACAGATGACGAAGCGGTCAGCAGATTTTAAAAGAAACGTTCGAAAAGGATACAAACTGAAGAGACTAGAAATATCAATGACAATCGTAACTATCTTCTTGTAGGTTAATAGGCTACACATACACACACACACACTCCTTCGTAACGAATTATCATTCTATCACAATCCCAAATATTTTTCACCGGTCATTTGTTCAACAATACTTAAGGAATACGTCTTCTTATATAATATATATAAAAGTATATAGTATACTATACTAGTATAGTATATTATACTTCCTTTATATATATATATATATATAGATACAGACACTTTTTACGTTCCATTATTCGTTAGGTCAACGTCAATTGTGAGATTATGAAAATGGAGATAGATAATTCGGCGTTTCGCATGGCTGACACAACGCTGACGATGAATAATATTATTATTTTGTTCGTATATATCATAATTAAAAAACGCACACGCGCGCGCACATGGCAAAGTGGCTTGCACTATATTAAAAAGTAAGTACGTAACATGAGCATTTCTATCTGACAAAAAGATACATGTAACAAATAGACCTAGGTAATATACGCGTACATCTTTTTGTTTAATCATCAAATGTAGAAACTGACGTAAGACAATCTGACAATTAGTAATATACTAATTACTATTCTAAATAATCATAAAAAGGAAATGCCTGTGTTCGTACGTACCTTGTTACCGTGCAACAATTCTTATACACGTGTGTACATATATATTTAATATTTTAATTGCTTAAGAAAATCGTTTCCTTTCTCGTCTGCTCGATATTAAAATCGCGATATTCGTCCAATGATAATTAGACGATGATATTTCAAACAAGATTATTCGTTATTAACCATCTAACGTGTTTTTGAAAGGAAACAATCGTGAGATATCGATTAACAAATATTTCTTTATACAACTTTATTCATATTGGAAACGCGCGTTTAGTAACACTTGAGTCTAGTAGTTCAAATCGAAACTAGTCAGACCCTGTCCATATTATTCAATACTATACAGGGTGTACCAGTTAAATTTATCATCTGAAATATTTCCCTTATTTTTGATTTAATGAAAAAAAAATATTCAATCACACTATCTCGAGGAATATGTTCGACGGATATGGAAAGTATTTATTCTCAAAATCATTTTTTTTTTATAAGATTTAAGAGTCATCGGTATCTTTTTTTTTAATATTACATTTTACCAAACGTCATAGATATTTTTTATGTTTTCAAATTGAAAACAAATATTCAAAGGACTCGCGAATACGATCATGAATGCATTCACCACTTTGTTTTTAATTTCAACAACAACAACAAAATAAAATATATATATATTACTTGTTACACTTAGATAAAAACCATCGAACATCTTTTCAACATACTTCACGAATTAATTATTTATCCATATTTAATTACAATAATAAACTATTTTTTTTTTTTTTTTATTCATAATCTCTCCCAACCCCCATCCCTTCGAGATAGTGTAACATTGTCCCGAATACTTTGTTTTCATAAAATGAAAAATATTATACATAATATTTCAGATAAAATTATCTAATACATACTGTATACCTCTTAACTGATATTACGTATAAGATATTACAAATAGAACTGGAGTTTCGTTGTCCTCTAGTTCTCAATATCCATCCTATGAACTTCAGACTGAAAACAAATAAACTTTGTACAAAAGAGGAAAAGAAGAGAAAAATGAATGAGAAGGATAATCGAATATTAACGCGATTCTATTTAAACAACAGGCCCTACTTTTTAGACACATATACATATATACTTATATACAATAGGTCATTTGTAGGGAACAGAAAGATCATCTCTTTTTCTCTCCCACCTTCTCTCTTTCTCTTTCTTCTGTCCAATTTCATCTGTATATATATATATGATCTTTAATTATCACATACACACACACTTATATACATATATACATATATATATATAAAATAAAATCTTCACATAGGTACTTGCGAAATTTAGATGTAACTTAAGCAATAGATGATTAATCAATAAGGATAGGTTATCGATTAATTACATAAATATATATATATATATTATAGGAATGGCGTACTTACGTAATCTTAACGTTCTCACAATCGAATGAAAGTTATGAGAAGTTGATAAGCATAGTCACGAAGATGGGTAACATAAACTTCGCTGTTTAATGTTAAAATTCTAGATAAATTTAAAAAAAAAAATAATTATTTCATTGGTTGAGGGGGGTCAATAAAAGTCAATACGGTTTTTACTTTTGTTTTTTATGTCCGGTAAATTAAAGAGAAAAATCGCACGGTTTGTTTTTATTAGCCAATATAATGGGATCGTGTTGCAAAAAAAAAGAAAAAAAGAAAAAAATCAAGAAAAAAAAAAGAAAGAAAGAAAAGAAGAAGCAGAAAAATTTCGTAATCTTTTTTTCCGTTCGTTAATTATCTCTTCTTTAGCGAAGATTATGCGACTTGTAAAAGAACGTCCAGTAAATTGGGTGCAAATTTATGATACTCTGACAACAAAATACGATATTTTTCCACCGATACATCGTAAGGTTTGTAGAATTAATATTATATAATAAAAATAGATAGGAACGCGAGATATATCCAGGATAAATCGGTGTGATTATAACGTGGAAGGGGTTAGATCGTAATTTTATCTAATGTCCCAAATGTAAATGAATAATGATGATAATTAGTATCACAAAATATTGTAGATATGATATATATATATAATACTTAAATAATTATCTAATTAAAATTAATGTAAATGCTCCGATACACACATTTTAAAAACGAGATATTATATTTATTTTTATTATTTATTTAGATCAATTCTATTCTTTTTTTTTGTAATACTTTTTCTATACAATCGTTATTATTAATATTGTTATTGTTATTATTATTTCAAGAATTTTATACGAGGTATTATTTCTTCTAACCTGATTAGTACTTAATTAACGTATACGTAAGTGATATATATTTTTGTCTTTTATTTTTAAATAATATTTTAATAATAAATACCATTACCTAACGTTATTATTTAATTAATTCGTAATAGAGTTCTCGTTTTAAAAAAAGTAATTGGAGCGAAGATTTTTTTCTGTACTTTTATAAACAGCAAGGTTTGTATCCATACCTGCCGAATTAAAAAAAGTGATCACACGCTTCTCGCATATATATATATTTAACAATTTTTAATATAATAATAATAATAATACGCGAGAAAGCAAAAAAAAAAAAAAAAACAAGAAGATCATAATAAAGACAGTAATTATTAATATTAATAAAATAAATATACGCGGGATGGATAAGAACCTAATGAAAATTACAACAATAAAAAAGCAACAAAAAAGAAATTAACATATGATATATATATATGTTAATTTTGTTCTGTTGTAGGACGTCGAAAAACCTATATCAGTATTATTCGAATAGTAAAGGATTCGTGAATTAAAGATCGAATCCTGAAGGATGAATCCTTGTGAAAGATATATCTTGTCTTTCATAGAATTACTTAATACATTAGAATAAGATTAGAACACACGGTATAGGTACGGTGATCGCGTGGCACAAATACTTAATACGCAAATTTTTTTTTTTTTTTTCATCTTTAAATCAAAATAACGAAATAATACTGCCCTTTTGTGGAAAAAAAAATAAAATGCAAGGACTCTTTTTAATCAGTTTTTATATATATATATATGCAGTACACGAATATGGAATAGCCAAGAACAGTAAGCAATCTTAACGTTACCCTAAAACATAGATATATACAATAAATATATATATATATATATATAGCCAAGAACAGTAAGCAATCTTAACGTTACCCTAAAACATAGATATATACAATAA